GTCACTCTCCATTCACACTCCTGAATTACCTTCCTGTCACTGCTTTTATTTTTTGTCCATCATGGGGCTTGAACTCAGGGCCTGGGTGCTGTCCCTGAGCTTTTCTGCTCAAAGCTAACACTCTACCACTTTGAGCCACAGCACCACTTCCGATTTTTTGGTAGTTAATTGGAGATCAAAGTTTCACAGAGTTTCCTACCTGGACAGGCTTTGAACTGCGATCCTCAGATTCTAGCCCCCTGGGTAGCTAGGGTTACAGACCTAGCCACCAGTGCCGGGCCGCCTGTCTGGTTTGTTGTGAGTAACTGTTCATGTGGCCTGCGCATACATGACGTTTCCATCAGATGCATCACATTCACCCTGCCTTTCGTTCTCCTGGTCCTCACTCCCCTACAGAACACTTTCTGTGTGGCAGGAAGAGCACTTTTCAGAACACATTTCTGATTGCAGGGAAGGGAGACACTGACAGTGACATTCAAGAATCTGAAGGGCTCAAGTCTGTGGGGTTCACAAAGCGAGCAAGCCTGGACCCTGACACTGGCTTTCCCGGGGTTCCTCGCGCCTCCTCCTGGTGGCTGCTGCCCCACAGCGGAAGCTCAATACCAACTCCTCACACGTGGCCACGCCTGAGGCCTTCAACCTGGTGTCATGGAAGCCGTGCGTGGGCTCCTTTGCGACTGGCTTCTTCCTGTGAGAGGAAAGGTGTTCACTCCGCCAGGCAGAAGGGCCAGGCTCTGAACCGTGTGGGACTGAGCATTTGGAAATGTGTCACCCAGAGCAAAGCAGTTCCCTGAGTCACCCTGAAGGCCCTGAATTCCTGCAGGAAATCCTCACGTTGGACGGGAGCTGGGAAGCCAGGCCCTCCCGAGCTCCCGCCCCGTGCTGGACGAGCCAGATTCCACGTACCGCCGGTCCCGGTGCTTGGGCCAGATTTGGTGTCTCCGGCCTCCCACCCCCACCTCCACCCCGCCCCGGGGCCCCAAAGTGAGATCTTTCCTCTGTTCCACCCAGATCATCTTTTTAATTCCAGCGGCTAAACCTGAGTCAGTGGGAGGAGCAAGGGCACCGCACCAGACACTTCCTGAGCCCCAGTCCTGGTCTCACCAGCCCTGGCCACTGCCAAGAGGGCTGTGTGCTGTTTGGAAAGGGGGCGGCAGCCACCTGCTCCAGGGGCTCTATTTGAAAAGCAATCTCTGAAGAATCTTGAAGAAGAAGCGGTGGTAGCACCGGCCGCCTCCTGTCCCCCTGAGAGGGACACCGGCCTTCTAGACCAGCACTGCGTTCCAGACGAAGTGGAGCCTTTGCTTTCCCGCCCCAGCCTCTTGATGACCAGCTGCCCAACAAAGGGGTGCTTCAGTGCCCAGGGGCAGGGGCGCCATGAGTGTTCTTCCAAGAGCTCCCCCCGTGGGGGGCGCCGAGGAGCCTTGGGAGACCCAGGCCGGCCGCTCTGTGGGGGAGGGGCCGCGGCAGCTGCGTGGGGCAGAGCGGGCTTCGCCCAGGCCCACAGCTGGGCTGCAGGGTGGCGACGAGAGCTGGCCGCTTCCTCCCATCCCCGCTGACAGCATCTCTCTGCGAGTGACAGGGAGTGCAGGCGGTTCTACACACCACAGCACAGAGCATGTGGAAAGGTGTGGCGTGGATGTGCTGGGCCTGACACCCACCAAATGTGCCCACTACCAGCCCACCCGCGTGCCAGTGGGCCGTCCATGATGCTGAGGCCCACAGGCACTGTGAGCGCCCCAAGAGTGGTGTCCGTAGTCGATGGGCAGTGGCTGGACCCAGCACGGACGGACTGACTCTTGCCATTTTCAGGTGAGCACATGGGACCTATGAGTGACTCTTCAGGGGTCCAGAGCTGCTCTGATCCACCAGAGAGCTGGTCCCATCTGTTCCCAGGCAGGCGGGGGAAGAGGGGATAATGGGGCACAGGGAGAGTTATGTCCACCCTTGTTCCCACCCAGGAACAGCAACCGGCTCCCAGGGAAACCTGTGGCTCTACATGGGCACGTGACACATGACCAAAAAATCAATTTGTAATCTGATTGGAGGTTTTTGATTTCCTCTGATGAGTTTAAATTTCATTAAAAGCAACCTTATTCCAACATAAAAGGAATCCTTGAAGGATAACACGGGGGATTGTCTCACTGAGTATAAAGCATCCCAACTCTTTTGTGTGATGTATTCATGGCATTAATTGTGAGGGCCGACCACAGTGTCCGTTGGCAGCTGTACCCTTATCAGGCCTGGGATCGGCCGGGAGCTCACAGCACAAGGACTCACATTCAGAAATTGCTCTCTGGCATATCGACACTTCAGTTATCAACAAACCTTTTTATCTGCTAGGAGGGAGTTTGCAGCTCACGGGGCCAGAAGAAGCCACAAATCAGCGCGGCCAGCCCGGCCTCTCTGCATTCTCCTAATTGTATGTATTCTCTGGGAAAAAAATGATCATCACAGCCTCTTGTCTTGATGAGAAATTGACATTTTCTGAGGAGCTCTTTGGGCACTCCGAGGAGGGGAGATAAGGCCGGAGTGGTTTTCGTGGAGGGGAGCCTTTCTTCCCTTTCAGGGGGCTCTTTATTGCTCTCGTTGACCGACTTGATGAGTATGGATTTCACGAGGTCTTTTTCAGCATTTGAACTATAAAAGGTTCAGAATGACACCACCCCTTATAGACAAAAGATAACCTTGCCCTTTGAATATATTGATTCTTTATTAACTAGGCTGTTTAATGCAATGAAATGAAGCATTAGATTGAAGCCCATTTCAAGTGCTTTGAATAATCTTTAAAAGCCTGAAAGACCTTAAAAGGTAGCCTGACAATACCAGGCATACATTTGGAGAGAATTGCTGTGCTGGCTTAGGATTGAAACCCAAGCGCCAAGTAACTTCTCTCTCCCCAGGTTTCGGGCCTGAGCTGGAGGCGTGGCTCTCCCTGCTGTAGGGGGCGGCCGGCAGGGCCCGGCTCTGGGCAACACTGTGACTCGGGGCGGAGTGACCCGGGTGGGCTCGAAGCCCACAGCTTCTTCCTTCACTGCCTCTTTAATGGTGGAACCTGCCTGTCACTGACGGGAGAAAAAAAGGTGTTTGTGAGTTTCTTTGTGTTTTGAATAATTGTTTCCTGTTTTGCTCAGCAGAACAAGTAATTAAGATGACATTTGTGAGTAGTAATTTAGATCACACTTATGTGGAAGTGTTATAAAGCTGCAAGCCAAAACATGCGAAGCAAGCTTCCATTGAGGAGAAAATGAAAATACCAAGCGAGATGGAATTGAGCAGGGGAGCCTGGCAAGCACTGGGTGAAACGGAACCTGCCGGGGAGGACCAGCGTGTGTGGAGTAGAAGCGCCCCGCGGGGCCTCCAGGCCGCCCAGGGCCCAGGGCTGGGTGTGGCCGGCAATGGGCAGGTGCCGGAACATCTCAACCCCCGCCAGCTCCAGCACCCTTTGCCAAGGGTCTGCTCACCACCACGAACACCCACAGTGTGCTCTGCCGGCCCAGCTCTTGCCAAGTAGGGCATGGAGATGGAGACAGAGGCAGCAAGAGCAGCAGAGCCAGCACAGGGGTCTCTGCCTGCCAAACGCTCTGATGCAGAAGAGGGGCTAGGGAGGCAGGGCAGCCGGCCTCCACCCACAGGGAGCCGGGGGCCCCCAAATCGTGGGTCCCTGAAGCTACGCCCCCGTGCAACGCACAGTCCAGGCTGAGCAGCGGGGAGCAGGGTCAAGCACCGCACGGTCCCGGCCACCGCAGCTACCGGGTGGCAGGTTCCCCACGCGACTCTCCAGGATTGGTAGAGCTGAGGGGTTTTTGTTGCTGTTGTTATCTCAAGGGAGTTATAGGAAGGGATGACAATCCTCTCGGACATCGTCGCCCCTTCCTCTCCCCCCCCCCACATCCCTACCACAAGTCCCACAGCCCATGTTTTCTGTAGTGCACACGGAATACGGGATCATTCTGGCCTTGGCCAAGACTCAGTCTGGGACCCAGGGTGGAGAAATAAACCCCCAACGGAACTCTCGCGTGAGTTTAGTCATTTTAATAATCAAAACAGATAAGATTACCAAAAGTGAAATTCACAGACAAGAAATACTTTAATTAAATATTGTGTAAAATGAACATTTTTATACAGTTAAATATCTGAAAAATGTACAGATAAAACAATCTTATTGTAGGGTCTTTGACAGCAAAATCTACCATTGAAGCGAGACAGTAAAGCAATGAAGGCGTTGACTAATGGAGCTACAACTACCGGGCACCGCCGCCTGGCTGCTGGTCTCAGCTTAGGCACGCGCTCCTATCCCCCAATCCTTACTTAGACAAAATAAAACGGAGGCAATTTAGTTCCAAAGTGACTTCTCAGGCTTTTCCACGTAGCTAAGACTTGTCAGCTGTCACAGGGCCCGAGTGTGGCCACTGACCCCCGGGGACATTCGGTTCATTTCACCGAGTTTCTTAAATGAGCATTTTCTAAGTTGTACCTTTTGTTGTTGTTGTTGTTTAAAAAGGATTTTTTTAAGTCCCTCCTTTTCTTTTCTGAATTTGATTACTGCTGCAGGTTGCAAAATGCTTGCTGTGCTGAGACTGGAAAGCATTTAATGCAAAAGAAAAATGAAAAATCCGACCATTTCGGTCTGGCTGTGGTTTGGCTCTAACAGGCCCAGGCCCTGAAGGAGGTCACGCGGTGTGGGAAGCACGGGCGTTGCTGCTGGATCTGACCACAGATCCAGAAAAAAAGACGTCTTAAAAACCAGCAGTGGTTCAGGGTTCCCCTGAAAGCTCAGGATCCAGGGTGGACCTGAGAGGATTTGGGAAGCAGCAGAGACAGGCCTGGAAAGGAGGTTTGTGCTTCTGTGTGTGTGTGTGTGTGTGTGTGTGTGTGTGTGTGTACATTTTACATCATAAGTCTCCAAATGAAATATTGATCAATGATCGTAGAGTGAGCCTGTGATAGAATAGCACAGAAGTTCTTCAAAGAAGTCCACTTTTAAGGCATCAGAGAAGTTAATGTGGCAAACATTTTAATTAAAACATTGGAAGTAAATTTTATTTTAAACTTTAGGCCTCTGAATTTTTCCAGTAAACACAGTTCAGCTATGTGGCAAAGTCATGGGTGGCAGCTAAAATGACTTTTTACATTATACAAAAACAAAAACAAAAAAAACACACAAAAAATAAAAAACAAATATATAAAATCAGGACACAGCCCCGACGGAGTCGCCTCTTCTCGGCCGCTCATTCATGCACGGACTCTACTAAGATCTGTCACAGCCGATGGCACCGTGGTCTTTTGACTATACAACAAACTTTTTTTCCTCAAAAGTATTTGTTCAGATAACTTAAAAATAATATAAAAATAAACAATGAATTCGACTTTTCCTCAAAATAAAAAAAGAAGGATGGAAAGCCTAAACAACAGCAAATATTGGAAGTCCACGTGAAATGTCAGGACAATGGTTCATTTTAACAAAACAGATCAGAAAGACAGCTCTCGGCGTCAGCATTTCCCAGTGTCCCAACACTGGGTCATGGCCCAAAACCAATACAGACGAGGAAAAGACAGAGGTGGGTAAACCAATGTACAAAATTTCAAAGATAAATACAATATTTATAATTGATATGTTACAAAGTAAAGTTCTTTAAGCAACTGTAAGTGTTCATGGAAAAGTTAAGTGTTGGATGAAGACCATTTTATCCCTTACAGAACACAGAAGGAATAAAACTCATTTTTCTAAATATTTAAGTGGATCTGAAAAAAATTCAAGACAAGTGTATAAATATTTAGCTACAACTTTGGCAAAATCACAAAAGTCTACAATTTTATAACCACATACAAAACACATTAGGGAAGAAGGATCTAGAAGTCAAAAGGACAATTTCTGGTACAAGAAACATAGACCTCACAGTAGCCTAAGAATGCAATAGTATACAGTGCTAGCGAAAGTTGAAAAAATGTGGCAGACCGCACTTGCTCACAGGAAGCTCTTAGCAGTGGGAGAATATTGGAACCAACAGACAGGAGCATCTTTCCTCTGTCAGTGTGCTTGTTGAAGGCAAGAGATTCAATATCAAAGTTACAATTTCTAACTACAATAAGTTACAAAGTTTCATTTCATTAAGATGAAGTTAAGCAATGAGAAGCCCTCCCTCCCTGCCACCCTAGATTCCATCTCATCCTGTTCCAGTTTGATGGCTCATACCTCCTTGGCCCCTAGTTTCACCACAAAAAAATATTTCACATTATAGAGATACACAACCATTGTGAATCTAAGTATGAGTACAGAAAAATGTCTGGAGGCATTTTCCTCAGTGTTTTTCATGGTCATTAAAATGGTGCATTCACAAAGTTTCTCCCCACACGGATAGCACGTACTAGACAGCCAAGACGGAGTCAGAAACTTTATACAAAATAGGCGTCGCTTTGTTTTCCTTATTCTTCGGGACTGAGAAATGTGAAAATATGAGAAAAGTTCAGTCAATAAAATGGAATTGTTCGTGAAGAAGTTGGGTTGTTTGCATGTCGATTCTTAATAGTTTAAATAAAATCTTTAATCAAAGTCTTTTGTAGCATCTCAGCTGCTGCTGACTGTTGGAAGATACCGTCTCCGTCAGCACATCTTAGCACACTACGCGTGTCCCCTGAAGTCCATCCTTGTGGGGTGCTGGGAGGTACACGAGTCCCTCACATTGGCGGGACTACCAGCCCAGACATAGCTGCAGGAGAGAAGGGAGAGCTTGGTTACCGCAGGCCACGCCTCGTACGCTCCCTTGGGTCCCGCTTGCCCTGCTGAGATGGGGCGTGCGCGTGGGGCTCTTGCTTCGCCTCGCCAGCCTTAGGAGTCTCCTTCCTGGGGCCTCTCACCCTGCAGCCCTGCCCGAAGGCCGCTGCAGCAGGGAACTGCTGTGGCCAGGGAGGGGGGGGGGCGGCTACTTGGCTCCTATCTCAGCATTCTTCCAGAGGCCGGGGCTGGAGGGGGTCCCCGGTCAGCCGGCTGGCACCAGCCAGAGCCGGCCGAAGGCCCTGCTCTTCCTCCCTACACGAGGACCAGCCTTGCTGCCTCCTGGTCTGCCTTGGGCCGGCCCGGACCTGGTGCTCACTGGCGAGTCGTGCATAGCGTCGGGGTGAGTCGGGGGCTCGGAGACACCAGGCGCTCACCGCCCACCTGCTCTGGAACCCCCCCACCCCCGTCCGGCGCCCCCTCCACAGAGCCCGAGGAACTCTGCGCTGCAGAGCAAGCACCGCCCCAGCTCGGGCGTGAACTCCTGGTACACGTGTAATTTGTAATCTTTTTAACTATAGTGTTGTTTAATTTTTGTCAGGATGATCATCCTCATTAATTTATGTATAACATATTAATACATTTGTTCATGTACTGATGTGAGCTTCAATTTCCCACTCCATTAATTTCAACAGTATTCATTTGTCTCCGACTCACCGTTACCACTGTATGGCTTGGGAGGCCTGTGTGTACACACCACTTGTGTGGCACTGCCTTGCTGGCCTCAGTGCCGGGTCTACAGACACCTGGCCCTCACTGCCTGCCTGCCACGCAGCGCCCGCCTGGAGCCCGCCGACGGCTCCGAGGCCGGTCAGCGGCGCCTGGGGCCTGGGCGTCCCCTCAGACACTGACAGAGGTTGTGAAGACAATTATTAGTGCAAATCACTGATACCTTTCCAGTTCCTTTTTTGAGCATTAGTTCATCAAAGTGAAATATGCCACCGACTTCACAAAAGGGCCAGTTTGTCTTCTCCACGGCTACGTCCTCAGCACCCAGCAGAGAGCCTGGCACATAGTAGGCGCTCAGTAAATACTGGTTCAATGGATTCATGGTTTTAAGGAGAGACTGGACTTGACTTTCACTGGGAAGAGCATATACCAAAGGTCGTGTCTGGAAGAGCCGGGCGGTGGCCGTCCGTCCACACACCTGAGGCCGCTGTGTCCCAGGGCCGTTCTCGAGCTCGAGAGGCTGGGGGCGCCTTGGTGGCCATGCCAGAGGGGCGGGGCACCAGGCAGCACTGGGTGTCCGCTCCACAGGGCCCTACCTGTGGACAGCTGGGTCCAGGGGGCGCCTCCCATACCCTGGGGCCAGCCCTGCCCGCTCTGGCTTAAACATGATCAGTTTAAAAACAGTTCTTAAATCTGAACTCCTGTCCAGGGACAGGCCGCGCCCGGGCAGCCCTGGCACACAGACCAGACCGCCTGGGCGTGTTCAGGGGCAATGGAGCCCCACAGGCTCGCCTCCAGGCCGGGCTGAGAGGCCTGCGCCCGGTGGCATGGGGACCGCCATCCTCACCCGAGGCTGTCTGAACGGCCCGCGGGCTCCCCGCGGGGCTGCGCGCCGCACTGCATGGGGCTCAGCAGGCCCCAGCCTTCTTCACCAGACCCCTGTTTATTCCCACGGGTGGCCCCCGTGTTGGGGTCCAGGGCACTTTACGGTAGGGCATGTGGTCACGGAGAAAGGATGAGCCAGGCAAAAATGTGCTGGGCAGCACCTGGAGCTTGCTGGGGCCCGAAGGGAACTGCGGGGCGGGGTGGCTGTGGGCCAGCGGAGCGCATGCAACGCCACGAGCCCTCCAGGAGACAGAGAAGGTGCCGGAAGGGCCGAGTGCCAGCCCGCGCCGCCCTCACCTTGCAGTCCGTTCCCGTTGGCGCTGGTGCAGGAGGGGGGAGGCGAGGCTTGGGGCCGGACCACGGGCGCAAAGGCGCTCTTCTGTTTCACTGCGGAGATGACATTGGCAGGTGAGAATGAGAAAATGCCGTGTGTGCCGCTACAGTTTGAAGGGAGGGTGACCGAAGAGGCTGCCATGGTGGGGCTGGACGGCACTACTGCAACAAAGCAAACACGGTCAGCACGCGCGGGGCCGTGGCGGGCGCCACGGCGAGGGCACGGGGCCTGGCCTGGCGAGGGGAGGGGCCACAGACAAGACACCACATGCTTCTGGCGTGGCCACGCTGGGCAGCAGGCAAACGCTTTCCCTTCCAATCCAGGCCCCGATTGGTTCTCTTTGGTTCAGGTGGCCAATGGGACGGCCCCGGGGCGTGTTGGGGGCGGGGTGTCGGTTGCGGTCGTCATGGGACACCCAGCCTCTGGGGCCACCCTTCCTTTAATCCAGTAGCTCACACCACAGAACATCCAAGCAAGGCACACACTCGACTTTGCAGTGAATATGAATCTGCGTGATGACGTGTGACAAAAACAGACACTTACTGCCGTAGGGAGAGTTAGCGGAGGAGCCATTAAGAAATCCAGGCGAGCCAGGGACCCCTAGATTGGCCATGGCGCCACTTCCATATCCATTCATGCTAGTGCTCACTGTGTTGTAATTGGATTGCTGGGGAGTACTGCTGGGCACGTATCCTCGCGGGGACACGCTGCTCGTATTGCGACTGTAGCCGACTGTTAAAATCCCCCCCCCCGGCCAAAAATAACATTATTATCAGCGTCAGACACTTGGGGGGGGTTCCCCGAGAATCTATATCATCTACTAAACACTGCTAGTTGACCTTGGGCTTCCTCTCGGCCTGTGGCCTCTGCCAGATCGCACAGCCCCAGCGCTCCCTTGCCAGTGAGCCCGTGCTGTCTGTGGGCCTCCACGGCTGCCCAGAGCGCGCTTCCTTCTAACCGTCGTTGCTTTCACGCGTCTCTTTCGAAGCAGTGATCAACAGCTTGGATTCCTGCCTGTCTCCCCTCGCCCCCGCCCCTCCGCGCTCAGAGCGTGCAGCTTCTGCACACCTCCAACCGCCATGCTGACAAGGGAGCTGGCTTGTGGCCGGAACTTCCCTGCAAAGGCTTTTAGGGGCTGTCTTTGTGGCTGCGATTCCTGCGAGCAGGAGCGAGACAGAGTGTGGGTGCAGGGAGCAAAAGTGAGGCACAGTGCAGAGCGGAGGTGGCTGCCTGCGTTCTTTACAGAGGAAGGGACTCCAAGGCTGCTTCGAAGGACACCCAGCAGTGACCTCGGTGGACTGCATCACTGAGCTAAAGGAGAAGGGGCAGGGGAGGTGAGGGGTGGTTCTCTCCATGGGTTCATTCGAGACTAAGACCCCAACGCCACCCTGGAATGGTGTGCAGGAAGACGCCTCCTGGCTCCCTCGTCACCGCCTAGTCTCTAAAGGAGTGCAAAGTCACTTCCACATAAGCTAAGGGACACTTGAGTGACAGCACCACAAGGACCAGGCTCTCTGACACTGCCAGCACTGGCTGCAGGGTGTGCAGCAAGTTCTGCTCTGCCAGGAGGAACAGGCCCAGCCGGGGACACGAACGTGACCCACACTGAATGTGCCCCCACAGTCCCCAGCTGCGTCCAGCGCCTCCAGCTGCAGCTAAGGCCAGTGCCCCCCCCCCCCCCGCCCCAGCTGAGGAGAGACCCGTGTGGAGCTCACCTTGGTCGCTGGCTTGCGATGTCTCGGACACGTTGACGGCTAGCTGACTGCTGAAGGAGTTCACGCCCATCATGCCGCTGTGCGCCGGGGTGTTGCCCAAGGTAGGGATCTGGTTGTGATTGCGGGGGACACTGTACAACGCCTCCGCAATGTCAGCCGCTCGCTTCAGGATGATCTCCTGGAGGGGGTTGATGCAAAGGTGAGGATCAGAGCCACCAGCCCGGGCATCAGGGTCCGGCCTGGCCCTCCTAGCAAACCGACGGTGTTCCCAGGCCCGGATGATGACAAAAAGAACCTACCACAGGGAAACTATCAAGTAATGCTTCTGAGTAGGCGAATCTCTTCCTGCAGCCCCAAACCTGAGGTACAGCCAGGGACCAGCAAACGAGGAGGCAGGGAGTCCCCAAGGCCCGGGTCCAAGTCAGGAGGGAACGTGAATCTGCTCCCTGAACAGTACAGCCCCAACTGGACAGGCCAAGCTGTGGAGTGTTCACCTGTCCTTCCCAAAGCCCAGAAGCACCAAACGCAGCCACCACCCACCACTGCATCCTCTAAGCCCTGGACTCCTGCCCCTCCCCCACCCAGCAGACCCAGTCTGGGCGGGGCCTGCCGGACACCATCCCAGGACACTGGTTGCCCGGCACAGGCACACCGAGCCAGGCTGCGGTCACCTACCTGGTTGTTGTGAGGCATTCCGTACAAGGCTTCCACCAGGTCCGCGGCCCTCTTCAGTAACACCTCCTAGAGGGAAGACAGGGGTCTCACTGGGAGAAGCCACGCACAAGCACGGCTGCTGCTCTTCGAAGACAGGGCGCCCACATGGGCTGACGC